GAGTGAAAGTTCTGGGTGGACGCAATGGAATGAAACCATCACCACTGCTAGAGTACTCAACAGTGGGTTGAGTTGCAAGTGTTATCTTCATTTTCAAAGAGATGGGAGCAGCAGAATTACTCAGAAACCATGATGCTCGCAGAGCTCCATTCTGAATAACACGATCATATAAAACATAAAATTAACTTTTAAAATTCTTTTCTGGCATAGTATAACAGAAAAATGGTTAATACACCCAGTTAAATCATAGAAACTTTAGTACTGTTTGGCAGGAAATTTTACTCTAGTGAATTTCATAAATGACTCCTTCACAACTCATTCCATTTGTGCTGTGTATATTTATGCTGTCATGCTGCTAGAAATATGCTATATGATTTCAAGTAAAAATATGAGTGTGAGGAGAAAGGTGAAAACCTACTAAAGGAGTAGGAATTCCAGAATCAGTTTACAAATCTAGTATTCAAAACAGTTGACTTCTAATATCAGAAAAATCAATTTAGGATTGAGCTTCTACATCCTTGCTAAGAATACACCTGTAAAGCACTTACACCTTTATAATATAAAAGAAGGCGAAATTTAAATTATCAGGCAATTTACTTTTTTTTCTACCATAGATGATAATTAAATATTTGACACTCCTAAGTCCTAAGTCAGGGGTCCTCAAACTTTTTAAACAGGGGGCCAGTTCACTGTCCCTCAGACCGTTGGAGGCCGTTGGAGAGTGTGGCGCACATTCCACACATGCGCACTGTGGGCCTGGTACCAGTCGGCTGCTAAGCAGGACAGGCAGCAGCAGCAAGAACACCTGGCAGGCCAGATAAATGTCCTCAGCGGGCCGCATGTGGACCGCTGGCCGTAGTTTGAGGACGCCTATTAAGTGATGAACTAGCATAGATTAAGAGAAAGATGCCAAAGAATACGACGTGTCTAATTTCATCAAACTAGGCCAGATGCAGTGGCTCACATAATCCCAGCACTCTAGGAGGCCAAGGCAGGAAGACTGCTTGAGCTCAGGAGTTCCAGACCAGCCTGAGCAAGAGCAAAACCCCGTCTTTACCAAAAATAGAAAAAACTAGCCGGGCATGGTGGCACATGCCTGCAGTCGTCCCAGCAACTCAGGAGGCTGAGGCAGGAAGGAGGGTCACTTGAGCCCAGGAGTTTGAGGTTGCAGTGAGATAGGCTGATGCCACGGCACTCTAGCCCAGTGACAAAGCAAGACTGTCTCCAATAATAATAATAATAACAACAATAATTTTATCACACCAAAAGGGCTCTCAAAAGTCTCAACAGCTCTTGGGTTCATTTATTTAAAAGCCTCTGAAAAACAGCAGTTGAGAGTGTGGACTCTGAAACTGAAGTGCAGGAATCAACCTTTCTGGGGTTCATCAGCTGTGAGCCGGGAAAAGTTAGTTTGCCTGGCCGGGCTTCAGGGCTCTCACCTGCAAAATAGAGGCTAACAGCATCGTCTACCTCTATGAAAGGTATGAATTCATGAACTGTGCTTAGAAGAGCGCCTCCACAATGCTTAGCAAGTGTGGAAGTTCATTGTCTCCCACTGTGTGGCTGAATACAATGGTGATAATGCCTCATGGGATTAGCACACCTGTAACTACTTTACTGTAAACTTTATAAGCCATATTAAGACTGTATAACCTACTCTCAAAATAATCAGGGAAGAGAAATTAATCATCAGGTTCTGAGAACCAGGAAAAAAGTGGATTAATATCAAGCATCTTGCAGAAATCCTCAATTTGAGTTTTCCACTGAATAAAAGAATTTTGAAGATTGAAAGGCAGTAAGGAGGCAGGCCCTCTAATCAGTGTTCTTGCAGTTTCTGCAATCAGATACATAATTAAACATTATTACAAAAGCAGTCAATGTACTGTACAAAAATATCATGAATATAGATTTATGTATATTATTTTGCCCAGGCGTTCTCAAACTATGGCCCGCAAGCCACATGCGGGTGTTTTTGCCCATTTGTTTTTTTACTTCAAAATAAGATATGTGCAGTGTGCATAGGAATTCGTCCATAGCTTTTTTTAAACTATAGTCTGGCCTCTGAGGGACAGTGAACTGGCCCCCTGTTTAAAAAGTTTGAGGGCCCCTGATCACATAATAAAATCATATAATAAAAAAATTGTAATATAAAGTAAGACTAAGAATATGACTAGGACTTACAGAAAATAAGCAGCCCAAGTGCAGTGGTTAAAAGTAACTACAGTCATGCACCACATAACAACATTTTGGACACACGGAATATGCAGTGGCGGTCCAGGAAGATTATAATGGAGCTGAAACATTTCCGTTGTCTCCTGACAGCGTAGCCGTCTTAAGGTTGCAGTGCAACGCATTACTCACATGGTTGTGGTGACAGAAACAAGCCTGCCGTGCTGCCAGTCACATAAAAGCACAGCACATATAATTATGTACAGTACATAATACTTGATAATAAATGACTGTTACTTCTGATTTATGTATTTGCTATACTATGCTTTTCATCATTATTTCAGGGTGTGCCCCTTATACTCAATAAAAACAAAAAGTGAACTGTAAGATAGCCTTAGGCAGGTCCTTCAGGAGCTATCCAGAAGAGGGCATTGCTATCACAGGGGGTGACAGCTCTATGCTTGTTACTGCCCCTGGAGACCTTCCCGTGGGACAAGATGTGGGGTGGAAGACAGTGAAGCTGACGATCCTGACCCTGGTTGTAGGCCCAGGCTAATGTGTGTTTGTGTCTTACTTTGGAACAAAAAGTATAAAAAGTAAAAACAAACACAAAAAAAGCAAAAATAATGAAAAGCTTATAGAATAAGGATATAAAGAAAGGAAATATTTTTGTACAGCTGTACATCTGTGTTTTAAGCGAAGTATTACTGCAAAAGAGTCAAAAAGTTAAAAAAAATTAAGATGCTTATGAAGTAAAAAAAATTACAGTCAGCTAAAGTTAATTTACTAAAGAAAGAAAATTTATTTTATAAATTTAGTGTAGCCTGAAGTCTGTAGTGTACAGCAATGTCCTAGGCCTTCATATTCACTCACCACTCACTCACTGACTCACCCAGAGCAACCTCCAGTCCTGCAAGCTCCATTCCTGGTAAATGTCCTATAAAGTTGCACCATTTAACTTTTATACTGGTTTTTTATTGTACCTTTTCTGTGTTTAGATACATGTATACCACTGTGTAACGACCGCCTGGAGTATTCAGCACAGGAACACGTGCACAGGTTTGTGGCCCAGGAGCAATAGGCTGCACCACGCAGCCTAGGCGTGTGGTAGGCCTACCATGTAGGTTTGTGTAAGCACTCTATGATGTTCGCACAATGAAGAAAATCGCCTGATGACACATTTCCCAGAACATGTTAAGTGACGTATGACTGTACTGCTGGCTCTCAGCCTTCACTCACTTTGGCAAAGTCAAACTACAACTATGCAAAGGGTCAGTCAAGTTTTTATGACACCACATTACAGGTTACGGCTTCTTGATAGGGTCTCTTTGAGAATTGAGCTTCTCTTGATCTACCTCAAAGAGCAGGCTAATTAATTACTAAACAATAATAGCCAGAGCCACTACTTATTAGGAGCTTATTAAGTGTCAAGAACTATGCCCATTAATCAAATCTTCAGTTGTTCAATATCTCATTTAAAAATCCCCTTATATCATCACCCCACCCACTTGGTATTTCACATTAATGGTCCAAATAAATTCCTGGGCTCAGTTTAAAAAACATTGAAATAAAAGCACAGAGATTTCTGGTCAGAAAATATTATGGTTCAGACCTTCATAAAAATTAGATCAATATTAAAAAATGTGATCTGTAACTAGAAAAATATTAATGTTATAGGATATAAATATCCACCACTTGCCTTGCCCTGTACATCTCTTCTAAACATAAATGCACATTGCCTGGTAATCACATGTGAAACTCAATTTCTCCATGGACTTCTTTTCTCATTTATAACACCAACAATTCAGGTTTCCTAAGTATTGTTTCTGTACTATTATTATTCTAAATGTACATGGTACGACAACTGTCAAATCTAAAATATCTCATTCATAAGACAAGCTGATGCATAACTAAAAATATTCTTTGATTATTTTGGGGTTTTTTCCTGAAATTTTAGTATTTAATAAATTTTGGTAGGCCCAATTATTTCTACCAAAATCAATTAACAGTACTGTATATCACTGCTACAAAATTCCCATTAAGCATCATGAGAAAACTATGAGTAAAGACTGAACAAATAAATATGACACAACAAGATAAAAAAAGAAACACAGAAATGAGAAGAAATATACTTGGGAAATGAAAAATCCTCTTTTAATAGAATATTCTTTCCCATTATGAGAATCAGGTTTAAATGCTAATTTCTGACTGCAGGTATAGTTTATGTCCTCTCTAAAATGCACTGGCAAGTACAGGCCTCAGTGGAAATGCTGTTCCCATTCCTTAAATTCACTGATGAGGAAAGCAGACAGGTAGGGGAACGTATGGAAAGGTGGAGAAACTGGGTTTAATATAGTGGGCTGAAAGGAGAGACCCTAGGGTACTGACAAGCCCCAGGGCACCAAGAAGCTCTCAAGGAAGGGGGGGGAGGATAAGGAACAAGGAGAGTAGAGTCTAATTTATGCACCATGCAACTTTCACCCTAAGGCAATTCTGACTCCTTAGCAGCCAGCAAATGGCCTGTTAACCAAAAAGGAAAAGAAAACAAAACCCCTAACTTCTTCTATTACCACCATTTATGATGGCAAAAATCATATGACCATTAATATTCCTCCAATTCTAGCTCAACAAATACTAACTACACTGAATCTAATGTGTACTTTCCAGCACTTTGGCTCAACTGATCAAAACACAGAAAAATTTTAAATTACTGTAGTTAAACTCTTCTCTCAAGATGTTTTACCCTTCATATATTTCTTATAAAGCTGCTGCTGATATCAGTAGTAGTTATCAAATAATAAGAGTGAAATATAACTAACAAAATGTCATACCTGGTGGTATTTCCTGGTGTTCTTCTACAGGAGGAACATTTACTTCTGAAATAAATAAAGTTATTAGCCATTACATATTGCTGACTAGTGTTTAAAATACTGATTGCCAGTATTTAAGTTATGGTGATTATTTTTTACAGACTTTACAAATTCAATTACAATTGCCATAAAAAATCAGGGTTTTGCACCCTCACAACAAAGAAGAGTTAGTTATAACGTAGCAAAATGAGTATTTCTCAACCGTTCTGTACAACAGGCTTGACAACATTACCTGCCTGACTAACCTTAAAACTCCATTGCCCAGCAAAGAAGATAAGACTAAAACCTAAGTTTTCACCACAATTTTGCATCAGACTTGACAAAAAAAGCTGAGGAAAGATGCTTAAGGTATTCTGTTTCTTCATTAAAGAGTTTCTTCTTGGAAAGTTTTTACCTCATAACCCTAGTTTTAACGTTAATGAAACAATGAAATTAAATTGCAAAAGAATCTTAAAAACAAACACTATCCTTAATAAAGTTGTTTTTGAAAAATAATATTCAAGATAACACATCCTAAGACTAGTCAAAGATGTAGATGTGAACTTTTAATATCTCGCCTTTTTCCTTCAATTCAATTATGACGGAAGAAACTGCAGACGGCCCCACCTAATGACATAAAGACATAGTGACCTGATTTGCTCTATCAGATGACATCACATATTAACATCTTTAAACTTAACAACCCATTTAGCATTACCTTAACCTAGAAATGAGATTATATCAGCTTTCCTTTTACCCTTTAAGAATTGTAAGAAGCTTTGGTTAAATGGAGGAATTTTTAATAGCAATTTCTAAAATACAAGATATTTATGTAGCTATTTTAATCATTTTTTCTTCTTGCATTCACTTGCTTCTAATTATAAAAATGACATGTGCTCAAAATAGAATATTTGAAAATATTTTACATAAAAGTAAAAGGAAACAAAAAAAGATCACACATATTCCCAATAACCACTGTTAGCGTTCTGGCATAGTTCCTTCTTAGAGTGGCAGTACAGCATCTCCTCACAGTAGCTTTCTACGTTGTGACTGGCTTAGTAGGTTTGCCTATTTATTTGGCTCTTAATTATTTAGAGACATATTAGTACTTTACCAACTTTGCCAATATTTTTACCAGAATTTCCTTCATTTTTGTCATTGTAGGTACAAAACTATGGTATATCATAAAGCATTACTTGCTTCTTTTGTTATTTCCATCACTGATGTTACACCAAGAAAGCCATATTACTGCAAGTTAAATTAAATTTTCATCAATTTTTATTCTGAAAAAATATACATTCAACAAACCCATCTGAAACTCTTTTAGTATGTGACATATTTAATAATAGAGGATTTCTAAAAAGGAAATAGTGAATTAATTATATCGGCACAACCTGAAAGGGTTAACTATTGTATTCATACAGCCTACTTTTCCTTACTCCAGTGCTTTTTGAACCCATTTCAGAATGGCTTTCACTCCCACCAATTTACTCAAATGGCTTCTGGAAAGATCACCAACAATTTCCACATCTCCAAATGCAATAGATACTTTCCAGTCCTGAAATTCCTGGGCCACTCAGCAACATAGAAGATAATCCCTCTTTTCTTTCTCTACTGTCTTCCTCCTGACTCAGTGGTTGTTTATCCTCCAATCCCCTCACAATAGTGGGGTTTCTCAGAGCTCAGTTCTCAGACTGCCTCTCTACTCTCTCTGTACTCACTTCCAAAATGACCATGTCAGTTTCCATGGATTTCCATCTTCACAGTGATGGCTCGCAAACATTTATATTCATCTTAGATCTTGCCCAAATAGTTCAGATTAGCATATCGAACTCTCCACTTGGATATCTCACACTAACTCCCAGACTTCAAGTGCCTAATATGGAGACTCTTTTTTTCTCCCCTAAACCAATTTCTTCTACATCCTAATTTTCTTCTTCTCAGTAAATGGCCCCATCATCCAATAGTTACTCTAACTACCCCAAAGGCCTCCTTTATTCCTTTTCTTTGCTTCACAACTATCAGAAAAGTTCATTAATTTTAACTCCAAAATATATCTCAAGTTCAACACTTTCCCCTCCATTCCCACTGCCATGATCTTACTCTAGGCCACCACAATCACTTCCTTGGAGGAGTCCAAAATAATTTCCTGTCAGGGTGGTCCCCCCTTCCATCCTTGTTCTATCCAATCCATTCTCTAACTAGAAGTAGAAATAATTCTTTGGAACATATATCAGATTATGCCATATCTCGCTTAAGTATTCCCCAAATTTACACTGTGTCTAGAATAGAATCCAAAGTCCTTAGTAGGCCCTGCAAGGTCCTGACGGATCCTTGTCCATCTATTTATCTGCAATGGAAAGTAAGCCGGCTGACACAGAGGGACAATAACAGAAGGCTGAACACAGGACTGGCATAGTGAGATCTGTACTTCTGCACAGATCACCCTAATGGCATGCGAAAGGAGGATAAAAAGGGGACAAATAGGAAGTCAAGAAGACCAGCTAGAAGGCAAGACTGTCATTAACTAGGAAGATGGCAAGGGGCTGAGCCAGATCACTAGTACTAGAGCTTTGGGAAAAGAATGGATTTGGGAAACGTTTAAGATATCTATTAACAGGGCTTGGGATTAGGTATAAAGACAGGGGAAGGAGGACTCAGCAATGACTCCCATGGTTCTAGACTGGGAATCCCAGTAGATATTGAGGCAACCAGCCAAGGGAAGAGGAGAGGGGTAAGAGAAGGTTGGCGGATGTGTGAAGATGAGCTCCCCTCACTGTCCACGCAGGGGCCCAGCAGAGAAGACGCAGGCTGGGAAGCACACGTGGAGCCCCACGCGCCTCATCTACAAGGAATTCCCTTAGCAATCTATCAGCCTATTGAAATTCCTGAAAAGTCTTAAGAAAAAAACGTATTTCTAATCCAAGAAAAGCAGGGTCAAATTGTATGTTGCGCTGTTATAGTTCTTTTTTATAAAACCGATGTGGGGTAGGTTGGATGAAGTTCTTCCTGGGAATTTTGGGTTTCTATTTTCTGATTCTTGCTGAATAAATATATAAACTCTGCTAAATTCTTCAGACCGTTAGTATTCCTCGTGGGGAAACGAGTAATGGGAGGTAGGAGAAAATCCCAGCTCCACCCAGCCCTGCCATGAAGGAGACGTCCCTGGGTCAGATTGGCCGAGACCCAAAGTCAGCAGAAGGGGAGCACATTGCTTGTTCCCACAATTAGCAGGACATGACTTGTTGACCAGCAGAGAGAACTGTTCCTCCAGGCAAATGGCCAAGGACCTGTGGTTTCGCATGCGAGCCAAGGTTGTCTGTAATCCTGCATGCGGGACCAGACGGGAGAAGAGAGAATGTAAACTTCGTCTTCTCTTGTGCTGTGCAACCAAGCCGGGCGTCCTGTTATCCGCAAACGGTATCAAACGTAGAAGGGCATCTCTTACGCTATGTCCGGAGGAACAGGTGCTATTGGCCTGTGGGAAGTCACGTACCAGAAAGTAGCTGGGAAAATAGTTGGCATGAGAAAATAGCTGCGGGAAGCTTGCTCAATAAAACAGTATAAAAATAAAACGACTGGTGCTTTAAGCGCTGCAGTCTTGAACCGTCTTTGTGTCTGTGTGCTTTTTCTTCTGGGACCGCAGCCAATTCTCTCGTGTCCACGTTTTATGTCTATGTCTTTATGTGTGTCATCCTCCGTCCTGCAAGCGGGCCACGACACTGCCACATGGGGAGGGACCTGCGGGCACACAGTGGACCCGAGCGCCATGCAGAGGTCTCTGCCGGCCGCCAAGTGGACAAGGAGGCCACTGTAGTCTCCTCCTCCCCCAACACCCACCTCCTCCAGCAGCTGACTGTTCCATCCCATTGTGCATTCTGCCTAACCAAGCTCAAAACCAGTGACATTTAATCTGAAAACTGACAATCAGCTGCTCTTAAATGGATTCTAAAAGTAATTCCATGAGCAAAATTTTCCATTCCATGCTACATGTGGCAACCTACTGTTGTTCAATCGCATGCGTCCCCATGGGGTCAACTTCGGGCTCCATTCTGGCTCACGCACCCCAACCCGGCCACTTACAGCTACGGAACCTGGGCCAGCCAGTCACCTGGCCTTGCTCCAGTTTCAGTTCTTCGTTTGTGAAATAAGTACAAAGATCTCTGCTCTACCTCCTCCTCAGTGTCTACTGTGAGAAGCAACTCAAATAATATACTTGAAAGAATTACAATATATTGTAAACTGTTAAGAGAACTACATAAACCTAAGCTGCATTTAAGCACCACAATTTAACCACTTCGGTATGGTGCTCACCTTGCCCACAAAACCTTGCCCACAGCCGGCACTCATAGTCCGCACGGTAGTTTGTGCTGTGCATTGACAACGAATCCGTTTTGCTCTTGTGTGATGAGGAAAGCTTGAAAGCACTGAAAGCTTGTTTTACTTTACAGGCAGCTTTACTTGTCATGTAAATCAGAATAGGTAACATAGACATATATGTTTCCATTATGTATTTTTTTTTTTTTTTTTTTGAGACAGAGTCTCGCTTGTTGCCCAGGCTAGAGTGAGTGCCGTGGCGTCAGCCTAGCTCACAGCAACCTCAAACTCCTGGGCTCAAGCAATCCTTCTGCCTCAGCCTCCCGAGTAGCTGGGACTACAGGCATGCGCCACCATGCCCGGCTAATTTTATATATATATACATTAGTTGGCCAATTAATTTCTTTCTATTTTTAGTAGGAGCGGGGTCTTGCTCTTGCTCAGGCTGGTTTCGAACTCCTGACCTCGAACAACCGCCGCCTCAGCCTCCCAGAGTGCTAGGATTACAGGCGTGAGCCACATTATGTTATTTTTAAATGTTCACAATTTTATTTTGATAAATGAAAAATTAGAAAAGTCATATGACGGCTGTCGGCTAAAGTGGCTGTGCGCGTTCATCTGTGGCTGTCAACTATAGTCAATGCTCGTACCGAAGTGGTTAATATATGCAACTATTTTGTTTTTCAGTAACCATTCTTCACCTCCAATAAAAATGTTTTTCTCCTAGCTGAAAACAACACAAAGGACTCAACTTTCAACCCACCTCTGCCCACAGCTAACCCCTTTTCATTAGACCACTGCCTCATGGGGGGTCGCCTACCCCATTTAGGGCTCCATATCCTCAGCAGTTGCCCATTACAGTATTCTGTTTTCATTGCCAGCGTTGCCCTTTTCATAAACTTTAATTACTTTATTTATCATCTGTTTGGCCACTGGAATGCCTGCCCCAATAAACACAGGATTTCTGCCTTAGACATAGAGAGCAAGTAGAAAATGTTCAATAAATACTTGTTGAATAAATGAACATACTCTTCAATGGAAGGTAAAACTATTTCTATGAAATTAACTTACATTCTGATATTATGTTTGAATCTTCTACAGCATTATCTAAAAAAAGCAAACACATCTTACATTAACTCACCTCTGCTCAGATTCCTAAATTAAATCCTATCCACTCAGATATCTAAATTTGGCTCTTTTTAGACTGGGTCTTTTTATAGAATACTTATACTAGGGTATCAACTTGAATTTCAATACCCAATTACTTTCTTGATGACTTGAAAGTGTCTTGTATTTCTCACTACGTTGATTCTTTGTTCCACAAATTATAAGACTTTAAACAAATATAGTGGGGTATTAACTTGCAAGAAACATCCATTTACAGAATAAACTCACCTGAGATTTCAATCACTTCATTTTCTGAAGGTTCATTTTCCAAAGGTTCATTTTCTGAAGGTTCATATACTATTTAAAAAAAAACAGAAAAAATAATCCTTTATAGCACTGCACAACTTTTATTATAACATAAAAGTTAACGACATGTTTCAAGGGCAGATTCAACATCTTATCCATCTCTGAACGCGTAGGGCTTAGTCGATGGGAAACAGCAGACTAGAGAAGGGTGGGCAAGAGTTTGCTCTGGACTGAAACAGTCCCAGCTTTAAATTCTAGCTCAGCCACTTATTACCTTTATAAATTTTTCTTCATGTTTGTTGTGGTACTTCTGAGTTAGATGAAGCTCTACCCTGCTAATCATCCTGGACCTCGGTTTTCACCAGGGATCATTGTTTGTGGAGCAATGCTCAGATCTTTAACCTGAGGGCAAAGGTCCCTGCTGCCAGCCCAAGAATGCGGGGTGAGCCAGCAGACCTCGATGCACCGCCTGACCAGGGCACACTCCCCATTCCTCCTCCCTCCCTGGCACGAGGCTCCAGGCTTCTCCTCTGCTCCACTGCCAGCAGGCGCCTCTCTGCACAGTCCTCCCCTGAGCCCAGCACCCTGCAGCTTGCTCAGTCAGCCTGACCTTCCAAAGTGTCTCCAGTTTTCTGGTACACTACATACAAACTTTCTTATTTTCCTAGCATAGTTACGAATTTATTCTTTTATTCATTTAGTAAAGAAATATTTGTGAACACCTACTATCTTCAAGACATTATTCCCAGTATTGGGTACAGGAGGGGACTATTTTTGACATATTGTTGTGTCCTTTTGGAGCCATTTGGAAGAAGAGGAAGCAGTGAATGTGTGCTTACTGTCCCCAAATGTTACACACATTTAAATACACTCTCACGCCTCTGTCAACTTAAAAAAACAAGGCAACCTTTCCTTAAGCTTGCTTCCCATTGTCCTCTCTTTCCTCCACTTCACAATCTAACTTCTTCAAGGAGGTGAAGAAGGCTCCTCCTTGCACCTCCCATCCTCAATCCACTCCCACCTGCCTGCAGGCCCGACCATGGGGACTGCCAGCGGCCACCTCTTCTAAGCCTAGGGGCACCAGCCAGCATTTACCAAATTAGGCCTCTTTGCAACATGCCTTCCTTTCCAAACACCGCTGCCCCTGGACTTCAGCGTGACCCTGTTCTCCTTCTCGATCTTCCTTGTTACCTCATCTTTGTCTCAGGAGGCATTAAATGTTGAGCTTCTTCAAAGCCCAGCCACAGAACATCCCCTGGTCCTCCTCTATTCGCTCTTCCTAAGAGATCTCAGAGTTTGGCCCCAATGGCCACATACACACAGATAATCCCCACACTAGAGCTGCAAACTAGACTTGTCTTCTGAGAGCCAAGCACTCGCAAGTGGCTCATCTGATCTCTCTTCTTAGATGCCTCAAGGAAATCTCACTGTCAACATGCACGGACTGGACTTACGACCTCCCACCCTGTCCCTGTCTTCCAGTCTGTCCTATCTTAGGAAGAGCCCCTGCAGCCACCGGGCAGCACAGCCAGAAGCGTGGACATGGTTCTCAGCACCTTGCTCTCACCCCAGCTACACTCACACATCAAACCCTGCCGATTTTTCCTTCTGAATATTTTTCAGCTTTGTCCACTGTCACCGCCACCACCCTAGTCTAAACTACTACCACCTCTCCAACCTGTCCATTGACACAGGTCCGGCTATGGTCACCTATGACGCCACTGCAGAGCTAGGTCTCGTACACATTTTTGGCGCTTATCCCACATGGCTCTTGGCAGCACCACTGGACACCTCTTTCTTGAAACTCATCTCCTTTGCTCCTCGTTAGGCAGAGACGTGACTCAGGGAAAGATGAGATTTGGATGACTGCAGTAGCCCAACCGGTCCCCACATTGACTCTTGTCTGTCTCCAGTCCATTTGCTACATTTCAGACCCCTCAATCTTCTCAAACTGCAAATGTGATTTGGGGGTGCCCCTGCACAGCACCCTACAATGATGACGAATGTCCTTGGCCTCCTTTACAGACATCCTCTGGACCATCTCAGCCCCATCCCTCTATCTCTGCCAGTTCACCTCAAGACCTCACACAGCTGCCCTGGAAGCTCTCCCCTGGCCTGCCCACTGCTCTCACCTTAGCCCAAAATTCAGAAATCCTGGCTTAATCCACAAACCAGGGAAGGTCTCTGTCATGTGCTCTTGTTACATACTCTATTTGTTCTCCCCATCACTTATTACAACTGTAATTGAAGACTACACTGAAATTACTTGTTTAATTTCTACTCCCCGTTAAAATATGAAATCTATATCCAAACACGTTTATACCATGTGTGTGTTCTTCACTAGAAAGTCATACTAATTATCCTTTTTTAAACATTTTAAATTACATTTATTAAGATACTTCTAAAATTAATGAAATATATTCATTTTTACAATATTTTTTAGAATGGTATCTAATTTTATACTTCTCACAAGTTTGATTTTAAATTCCTTCAAATCTAATTTGCAAATTGCATTCCAAACACATTCTTTCTAGTAAATTTTCAAAAAAACACTATAATGGTTGGCAGAAACGAGAAAAGTATCTCAAATCCCATCTACATGCAACTTTTAATTTGTAAATTTCTATTCTCTTCTTCAAATTCAATATTGAAAAAGAAATCTAAATATAATCTCAGAGCCGGGTTTAACTTTAACTTCTTTAACTTCTTATAAAAAAATTATCAGTACCTAAAGATACAATCCAGGGTTCTTCCAATGGTATCATTTCTATCCCACTAGAAACAGCCACTACAGATGATGAGCTTGGTAGGGTCTCAAGTCTTAAATTAACATATCAGATCTACACATAGTCATTTCTAATTTTCTTCAATTGTGAGTCACCAGCTATCAGAACTCCTTGAAAGGAAGAATCCTATGTTACTCATATTTTAACTTCAAGCCCTAAAACCATTTAGAATGTGGAAAGTCTTCCAAATTCCATTCAATCATGACATATTTCTTCATATTTCCTGCTTTACACACAAACTTACACCCAACTGACCTCTTCCTAGAGAATCATATTTGAAGATAATCAAATAAAAAGGATACATCATTAGCTGTATCATTTCTTCCTTTTTTTTTAAGAGATGAGTTGTCAGTCTGTCATCACCCAGGCTGAATGGAGTGCAGTGGTATAATCATAGCTCACTGCAGCCTGGAACTCCTGGGCTCAAGTGATCCCCCTGCCTCAGCCTCCTGAGTAACTGGGACTACAGGGCACACCACCATGTGTGGCTAATTTTTTTCATCTTTTTTTTTTTTAAGAGATGGGGGTCTTGCTATGTTGCCCAGGCTGTTCTCATACTCCCAGTCTCAAGAGATCCTCAAGCTGCCTGAGTTGCTGGGATTACAAACCTGAGCCACGATGCCTGACAGTATCATTTCTTAATCATACAATCTTGGACAAATTATTTATGTTCTCTGAACCTTATTTCTGGGAAGTAGAGAAAATATGATCTACTTCATGGAGTTCAATAAAACAGTACATTAACTGCTTGGACAGAGAGGAGTTCAATGGCCTTATTCTGAATCAGATGCTGCCCATGCCACAAATTTGCCAGAACTATTTTCTCTATGTTGCCTTTAAGCCTGGAACTCAATTCTTCTCAACCTTCCTCAAGTTGGCAAATCAGTCATCTTTGAGAGTAGGATTAATTTGTACAATCAGCAAGAGTAGTTAAACTCTTGACTAAAGTAGCAGTTCATACATATTTTAATCAAGAGAGAGATGGCTATAAAATAATGAGATCGGTTTTCTTGAATGACTTGTAACTGCCTCCTAATGATTTGTAAAGAATTTAGGAAATTATTTAGGCATTGACAGAACTGCTGGAATAGGCAATCTCCCCAAAGGAATTCTTTGAAAACTACTATTCACTTGGATATTTTAAGTTATGATATTTATAGCTTAAAACATAATTCTCTATGTTTTATAGTCAAACTATGGCATATTTTAAAACAAGTAGGTAGCCTAAGATTAAGAAGCATTTTCAAACCTTGTTCATCATAGTCTTGGTATGTTACACCATCTGCAAAAAAAAAAGAGAATAAAAACAAAATAAGTATTAAATGAGTCATTCTGAATAACTACTTAGCTAAAAAACAACAACTTAATCTCAAACACGGAATTCTATTCCTTTAAATATTAATGTCCGCACAGTCAGTAATAAATGCCTCTGCCCAAAAGCCACTAAAGGAAAGGGCAGGTAAATTATTGTCAAACAAAATTCCTCAAATTGGCACAGAATAAGACACATAAAAGTAGCGTTAGGATTTAACATTATGTTTTGTTATGGAGGCGTTAGTAGGTAAGATGAAATATGAAACGCTGATGTTCTTTTATAGTCTAATTTTGTTACAAGACAAAATGTCATGCATTAAGTGCTAAAATTACTTCTTTGACTTCTTTAAAAGAAAAATCACCATGTTAACATGGCACTGCAATTGAAAAACATTAAGTAACATTCAAAATCTAATGAAAACCTTCATTTAATACCTGCATCATGGTGCAATCTTTCATCATCTACTACTGGTTCACTGGAATCTAAAAAAACAAAAATGAAAAAATGAAAAACCAAAAATGAAAAAGCAAAAAATGAAAAAACCAAACATGTTACCAGATGCCATTCTAAAAGATTCACAAATTAATTCTCATCTTCGCAATCTTGTAAGGCAGATATTGTCATTATCATTTAATAAAATTTAAGCTCAATAATGTTCCTTAGTTTGCCAAATCACAAAGACAGGAAAGGATAGGAAACAGAACAAGGATTTACACCCAGCCTGACTCTGCTACATCATCTCACCTCTTCAATTTCCAAATATTCTTTGCAACATCCTACATACAAAGACCAAACTCTTTGTAGTGCTTTGAAAAACACAACTCCTTTTTCCCTTGTTTCCCTATGTAATATAAGCCATATTCAGAAATCCCTATACATATCTTGGTAATCAAAAGTGATTGTAAGAATAAAGAGATCTGTGTTTCATCAGAGTGAATCATTAACCCTGGGTTTAAATGGCCTTGACCCCTGCCCCAAACGGAAACACATATCGATAATTTTAGCATTCACAAACCTGGATTTTCCTGTTCATACATGATCTCTTCCATATCCTGATTATAGTCCTGTGAAACTACAAGTGAGGAAATAATTAGGAAATTACAAATGTGTCTGGAATAGGGATTACATGTGATCATCAAAACCAGAAAAGTACAATTTCTAGTAATGACAGAATTGTGAAATCAAAGCATAATGATGTTCAAACATGTCCACTCATAGAACAAATAGTTATTAACTACGATAAACACCAAATACAAAGATCAGTAAGGCAGTCCTCGTCATCAATGGGTTTATAGCCCTACCACAAAATCATAGAGCTATACTCTCATTTAGTTTATGCAGATTCAACTACAGTCAGCAAATAAAAAATGAGAGCGGCAGAGAGACAAAGAGAGAGCAGTGCAGGTGAGTCTTCTTGCCCAGCGAGCAGGCACCTGCGGCAAAGTGAGCCTGAGTGAGGATGCACACAGCCCCAGCCCTCATTTGGACTCAATACTGGGCACTCCATGCGCTTCTCTTAGACCAAAACATAGTTCTAGTTTTTACAGATATATATTGTTAAAACGATACAGGTACTAAATGCCAGCCAACAATATCACATGGTCCTCAAGCACAGTAAGAATGATCTGTTCCCACATTGGAAGAAAAACTAGCCAGTGACACAGGCTTACTGACAGTGATGCGTCCATCTCCGGTGTACCTTCTAGGGTGCATGACACGTGACCAAACACAACTCTGATATTACATTGACTTTGTAACTTAAGACTACAGAATTCTGTAACTTAAGGTTACAAAACTCATAATTCCACTACTGGGAATTTATCCTTAAGAAACAGACTTTATAAAACACAAAAGCTATATTCAAAAGATAATATATTAATACATGATATGAGTAACAAAATTATTAAGCATATCATGTGATATGTTAAATAATTTATATTGTTATTAATAAATAATTATAGATATATTACATATATAATCTTACAATGATGTCTCAAAAGAAAAGATTCATTGCAATTGAGAGAGAATAGTATTAAATTAACATCTCACCTGGCTCTTCCACATGGTAACTGTCCACAGTTTCTGAAAACAAATCAGATTGATATTACTTTTATAAAATGGTGTACATAATCTGGCATATTCTGAATCTATGCTTATGGTTAATTTTATTTTAAAATAAATAACTATTAAAATGAAACACGGAAATATTAAATGTCTGCTTAACACTTCGTCTTTCGCTAGAGCTACACTCTGAAATGTCTCACACATTATCATACTTGATCCCCTCAATAACCACAGGATGATGAACACCTCACACGTGCTAGAGAGACAGACAGTTTATACGGAATAACACAGTGACAGAGGCTGCACCAGGAGAAGTGCTAATCTCTAGTCCACTTCGCATTTCACTACAGTGTTCCATTCCATTCCAGACCTGTCCCACCATTTTCTAGAGAGCTTCTATCCATGCCTTTCAAACAAGCATGGATATAAGCTTTTTGAAAATATCCTCTGATAAATGAGGAGCTGCCTGCTTCTAAAGTAAATTCTCAATATATTAAACACTGTGAGGAGATAAACTTTACTTTTTCATTATTTTTATGCTTAATAAAAAGTCATTGCAACTATTTACCAGCTGTGTTGCGTAGGATTTTGTAAATAAAGCTTTATAGAAACACAGCCATATTGACCCATTTAGGAAATGTCTCTGGTGGCTTTTGTGCTAACAGCAGAGCTGAGTAGTTGCCATAGAGGCTGTATGGTCCACAAAGCCTGAAATATTTACTATCTGTCCATTTACAGAAACAGTTTGCTGGTGCCTGGTGTAGAAGCTCAGAAACATGTTCTGCCCACAGTAGTTACAAAGTTTATGTCGAACAGGAGCCTGAGAAAGATTATCAAGTCAAATATTTCATTGGTTGTTTGAATTTCACATAACAAATAGCAATCTAGGCAGGAGAATATAGTAAAAGTAGTTTGTTAAAGTATTTCACTTACTTTTCATAAGAAATTTATACATTTTAAGTTTCTCTTAAAAGTACTTTGAAGCAAAATTAGAATATCTATTTATTTTAGGGAAAAATCACTTTAATTGAATCTTTATGCTTCAACTTAAAAAAATTTAGATAAGTTAAATATTAGTTTTAAAGGGGGTTAAGAAAAGCTTCAGTAATTATAATTATCAATTGTCTATTGTCTTTAAAAGAAAAATCACCATGTTAACATGGCACTGCAATTGAAAAACATTAAGTAACATTCAAAATCTAATGAAAACCTTCATTTAATACCTGCATCATGGTGCAATCTTTCATCATCTACTACTGGTTCACTGGAATCTAAAAAAACAAAAACACACCTTTGCCAAAAATGATAAAACCAAACACGTTACCAGATGCCATTCTAAAAGATTCACAAATTAATTCTCATCTTCACAACCTTGTAAGGCAGATACTGTCATTATCATTTAATAAAATTTAAGCTGAATAATGTTCCCTAATTTGCCAAATCACAAAGACAGGAAAGGACAGGAAACAGAACAAGGATTTGCACCCCACTTGACTCTGCTACATCATCTCACCTCTTCAATTTCCAAATATTCTTTGCAACATCCTACATACAAAGACCAAAATCTTTATAGTGGTTTGAAAAACAACTCTTTTTCCCTTGTTTCCCTATGTAATATAAACCATATTCAGAAATCCCTATAAATATCTGGGCAATCAAAAATGTATTTTGTATTTATTTTGTACTTTCTTCTGAAACAAACAAACAAACAAAAAACAAAAGAAAAGGTACTCTACCATCATGGAATGTTTCAGGTTCCAGGGTCTCAAACTGATCATCTACAGCAGTCACTGTATGAAAATCGTTATCCTCTGGTTGTGGTTCTCCCGCTGGTTCACCCTCTTGTTGCTGCAGGTCTTCTCCTTCAACTGTGACAACGGACAAAGGGACACAAGTCTACAGTGAGGGCCCACTGGCCACAGTAACTCAGACACAGAAGCCCCTGGGAAAGGCTGCCACCCTCCTCCTGCTGCTGGGCAGTCTCCGCCTGTCCTCTGGGCCACTGCAGATGCCACTGTCCACTCCGAAGCCATTTCCTCACTCTGGCCAAGTGCCAGTCTGCCTACTCAGGGAGGAGGGTGGTCTCCTCTCATTGGAACGTGAACTCACCAAGGACAGGGGCCTCAAGTACATTGTTCACTATGTATGCCCAGCACTTAGGGCCATGCATAGCCTTAGGACGTACTCAATAAATATCTGATGAATTGATGAATGAAAACATTCGTAATTATATTTGCCTCTTTGATTATCATTGGGTCAGAGAAAAGGTCACACTATGACCTTTTACTGAAAATTGACATAAAATTCCATGTAGCAACTTTAGAGGACCAAACATTCTATAGCAAAGAACAGGTAGCCACCTGTCGAAATCACAGGCTATGTCACAGATCGACTTGCATGATGCTGTGTGTCCAAACACTCTGTTTAGCCTTATGCTAGTTATGCAGAGATGCCCATTTTTTCTCCTGAGATTAACTTCTCTGATGTACTAAGCTGTTCTTCTTCTTTTGTGTAGATGTTGAACATCCTACATTATTCCACTGTAATACGGCTTACATTGTTACTGGGCCTAAAAATGACCCCAATAACTTGACGTGGCTCCCAGCAGACCATCTCCTACACACAACACTCAAGCTACAGCCCTCGCGGGGCGGCACAGCGAGCAGGCATGCGGGGTGTGGAACACATGCTTCTGGATTTAAGCTCTTCCACAGCTGCTGCGGGGCTGCAGACAAATTACTTAACTACTCAGTGCCTGAGATTTCTCTTACATAAAATGGGAATAATAGTACCTATTCATAGCTTTGTTGTGAAGATTAAAACACTTAGAAAAATGCATGGCCCACAGTAAACTTAGGTGCTATTATCATCACAGTAATAACATTGCTACTATTCCCCACTGCTACCGAATTCCCACCCCACCCCCAAACTGCAGAAGATGTCCTTAGTTACTGTCCCTTTACTGTGGCACAGTTAAGCTCTCAGATGTCACTGAACCAGGCAACCCAATTTACGTCAATACTATTTATTTGTCTTCTGTCTTCTCATCATAGCTTACTGTATTTTTCTCCTCATTCCAGATTTTCTGCCACTCAGCAAACCAATCACCAATTCTAACTCTTGCTGCGAATTTTACTACTCTTTTTCTTCTTACCGTATCCCTCTTCCCTTATTCTGCTGTCATCGTAGCCAATGAAATGTGATGAGTTTTACATTAACAGAACTTGGTTCTCTGTTCAATGGAAATGTCCCTGTTTTCAGTAGGAAAACAGCCAAACATTGCACACTACTTTTGAGCCTCCACTGCTCAGTCAGGGACAGCCTGGTATGAAGAGAACTTTCTGAGAGTTAACTAGACTCTAGGCACTGGCAAGCGCTCTGCGGCTGTGATGCCATCCCACGAGGTGGGTACTAGTATCTTACTCTGACAGACGAGGAACTGGAGACACTTTGCTAAAGCCATGCAGCTAACCAATGGCAGATGCAAGACCTGAATCCTAGCGTGGGATGCACCATGGTGGGGACAGGGAGCCATGTTGTCATGAGACGTGACGATCAGGTGGGGTGAGAAACACATCTCAGCCAAAGACATACCAGGTGCAGAGGCTCCAAGGCAGGGGCTGGGCCATTTCAAAGAAAAGGCAGAGGCCAGTGGGCTAGAGAAAAGTGACTGATGAGAAGAAGCAGGCTGCAGCTAGATAAGGAAGGCACAGCTGGCTGGGCTACATCAGACATGGTTATAGAGGAGCAAGGATGCAAACAGGGAGACCCAGGCGGGTGCTACACCGGCAGTCATGGCAAGAGGTGACAGTCACCACTGAGGGCCTGGAGGGCCAGGATGCATGTCAGTGGCAATGCCAATAGGACTTGATGATGGATTAGATACGTGAATGAAGAAGAGGAATGAGAAATCAAGGGAAATGCCTGGGTTTTTAACTTAAGCAACTAAATGGGAAGAGAAGCCATTAACCAAAATATAGCAGACTAAACTACGAGTAATATTGGGGTTTGGGGTAGGGAGGAGCTGTGAGATGGGGAAGAATCACGAGTTCTGTGTTAGGCATATTTTAAGTCTGAGACACTGATAAGACATCCAAATGGAAATGTCTTATGCAGCTGGACAAGCCTGGAGTGATCAGGGCAGCAGCTATATATTCAAAAGTCACCAGCATATAAATAACATTTAAAGCTACGGACCATATATGTGATTGCTAAGGAGAAAGTCTCAACAAAGAAAAGAACAGGTCTAAGAAGGCAGCTGTGGCAAGGAACATGGCGCCAGACTCGATTCTTTCCTCTTCTGGCTGCCTGCCCACCCACCACCCACCTAAACATCTCCCAGGTACCTCCACGCTCTCCATCCCCGCCTCTGGCTAGGCGGAGTTTGACCAACCATCTGGACTCACTCGGGTTACCAGTGCCACCCTCCACCTCGTCTCCCTGCCGACTGCCTGCATCCCTCCCATGCATTTTTCATGCTGCAGACAGAATACACAGCCCTCCTCAACACCCTCCCCGATGATTTCAATTACGCTCAGGATCAGGTAAAAAATACCCTTTCTCTCAGCACACTCCTCCTATGTATTCCACATGCCAGCCATTCTGAAATACTTTCAGATTCCCTCTTGCCTCAGCCGTGACGAAGTTCCACACCAGCCTCCAGCTCCTAAGTGAAGAAGTCACTTCCTCCAGGAAGCCTCTCTGACCTAGAGTCGGGGTGAGCCCCACAGAGCACCCTGGGTTTCCCCGTTATACCACTCACCCCATGATAATGAAATCACTTATTTAGGCTGCATCTTCCCTGCATTAGGTTAAAGTGAGAGAAAATGCTGGAGGAAAGGGAAGCCTGTGCTTGCTCCCACGGGCAGACAACGTGGCTTTCTGACCTACCTGTAACGCAGCTGGCAATAAAAGGACACAGGCTCCTACACTCCTAGCAACATCGGCAAAAACAGTTTAAATGACAGAGATTGTTTAAGAAACTCATTTTTTTTTCTTTAGGACATTTAGGAGCATAACAAACCATCAGGAGTAATAAGATACCGTGTTCTGCTCCCCTGGTGACCCCTTCACGAGTTACATTTTGGGGTCACTCTCTCTGTTTTTACAAAGGGATGCTTTAAGAAGCTGCCTTATAAAACCCTAACACTGGTTTCTGAACTATCATTTAGTATCCTCTACACAGAGCTCCACATGAGAAATGGTTTAGATTTAAGTGCTGGGAAAATGCTTTATATTCTTGTGTTTTTCCTTTCTGGTAATGTAACCTGTATTATTAAAAATGTCTCTGTTTCCTTTTGGTGCCCAGCCAAGCAGGAAGTGAAGTCTGAGAGTGGATGACAGCACCTGGGTAACCCATCACACGAGTGTCCTGTGTCCTGTTTCCTCCTCCTGTCCTCCCTCCTACTCCTGATGGATCGCTGGTCTCAGCCCGTGTACGCGCATTTATTCCCACCACCTCTCTCTTAGATGTGCGCATTTAGGCTCCGTCAGTGAGGTGGGGTACAATAAAATATGTACAGGGCTACTCCAAAGTAATACTTGTACTCTAATAACTTTGAATTTAAAAATTTTTAAGAAAATAACCCAAACATCCAACTAACATTTAAGTTTTAAAGTAATGCCCAAGTCACGTAATTAAACATATATTAGTAGTTCATGACAAAACAATAGATTTTAATTCATACCATGTTCTGTGTATACCATTTCTTGGAGATGGGGCTGAATTTGTTCTGTTACTTCATCGTGGATATACCGGGGTTCTAAAATAATTACAAAACATGACTAAGTAGAAAAATTCAAACATTAATGTGGAACTCTAACACTCAAATATGGAACTTATGCCTAGACATTAAAATGAATACACATGGCTAAGCAATTATGCATCCTTTTTTATCAGTTTACCGTGTTTTTTCCTTTGTTGGTAAACATCATAGGTATCATAAATTGTTTTTTTTTTTTCCCAGCAGATATAAGTGTTAAAAGACTTTCAATAAGATTTTTAAAGAAAGAAAACTAATTCAGGGTCATATTTTTATTTTAAATAAAAGCCCCACAAAGAGCAAAATGACTTCAGTTTCTAATTATTAATAATACAGTTCACACTAATGGTAGAAGAAAGTAGGAAGGACAAAGCCTTCAGGAGAAGCACTGGGAAGTAAAGATAAAAATCTAGATGACAAGGTCAATATAGATTAAAGTATATGGTCAACCACTGCCTTCCCTGACTAGAAGAGAAGACACCCTTGCTGGTGTGAGGACTGAGGGGCTCAGGGTTGGCCGACCCCTCCCTGATGTTGTCAGGAAGACCCTACACTGTAACTGACAATCCTTTCAGCTTTGGAGAAACACATCTGACATTCAGATCCACAGATTCAAATAAACGTGAATTACAAAAGGGATCATTGACAATGACATGCAGACAACACAACACTGTGGTGCTTATCAGATTATCAGACTCACCTGCAACATGACGCAAGGAACAAGAAGCTATAATTACATTGACACCACTGTAAATTCTCTAACAAACATAATCTATGTTCAATGAATAAAAATAGCACCAGACTTGGTATCATAAATGCTGTCATGTGAAATGATGCCAGTGACATCACTTATTTACAAAAGCTAATCTTCCATGAAAAAAAATAAATAAATAAAATGGAAGAAGTTAATTTAAACTTCAGGTAGGGAAAAAGTTTAAATATAATATCTATTATGCTAACCATATTACAAAACCATTTCTAAAGCACAAAAATGCCTTCTATTTTTTATAGATGTTTGTATTTCACAAGCCACTTTTATATATATTCTCTTACAACTACAAAAGAGTCTGCCAATCTCCATTCTTCCCTTATCTTCTCACAATGCCTATGTTAGCTTCCTAACTGGATGCCCAGTTTCACAACTGCTGAAAGCACCATCCAAAGAGAATATAATTTGAGTTACTAGAAGTGGTGTACTCTGCTTTTTTGCCTAACCCTTTAATGGCTTCCTTTGCCCAAACAGGTAAAAACCTAAGCTCCTTGGAAAAGAATATAAAACCTCCACAACTGAGCCCTCAGAGACTTCTCCAGAATCATCTGCTACCAGCACTGGCTTTGAACTTAGTGAGTACACTACACCATTTCAACTTTCCATAGTTTTGTAAGCACTCTTCCTCACCCCTGGAAAGGGTTAGTGGAGGAAGAAGCCAGACAGCAACGGGTCAAAGAATGATTTTTTTTTTTTTTTAGTGCAAAGTAAAATTTTAGGTGCTAAATCCAAACACACATTTAAATGTGTGTTAAAAAAAAAGAGTTAAAAAAATTCATTCCTTGTTCTAGAGCCATGATAAGATTATAGCAATTCTATAGGAATGAGAGGGAAACAGTAAACTCTCCTAGGATTATGAACTGAACAGAACTCAGAGAAACTCAATTATCTTAAAAGAAAGAAAGGAAAATATAATATTATTCAACAGTACACAGTGATAAAAATCAGCCTAAAATACAGTTCTGGACCCAGTACTTAGGCTGCAGTAAAAATGCAGTGTCATACCTAACACTTCCAATAGGTGGCGGAAAGAAACCAAAGTTTCTGAGAACTGGGTAAATGAAAAATGTGCAGAAACCAAATAGTACTTTATAATAAATATCATACCATAAATAAGAAATGATAGTACTGGATTAAAATTTAATGTACTAATTTATTAAAATATTTTGGGATTTTTCCATCCTTATGGGTCATAGGCCCGTGGGTAACTATGGAGATACTTGATCCCTGCAGATGCAAGACAGGCTTCACAGAGGACCACAGGGAGGTCTGGCACATCTTTTGATGTGGACAGGAGGCCCTCATATAAAAAAGACTGAGAACCCACTAGACCTACTCTATTAAATCACGTGACAGATGATGACACTGGTGTGTAACGTGTGTATTTTCACTTTCAATATAATATGCTACTGTGTAGTGCTAGAATTGGAGTCAAGAAATGTAAACCTTAGATCATGATGATTCTGTGTGATCTTGGACAAAGAACAAATGTCCTGCCTAAGATTCTTTATCTCTCAAAAATTAAAATTATCCTGTGCAAATTTTTACTGGAAAAATTTTGTTTGCTATAAGATTTCAGAAGAGAAGAAAAAGTAGTTCAATACTCTGTAAAAATGTGAAATAAATTCTGGGCAAAACATGATTCTGTAAACTGCAAATGGGATACCTGTGAGGCCAAGGCACCTCCCAGTGAGACCTGGAGGAGGAAGACAACTCACCTGCCCTCACGGGAGCCTCCTCTGGGTCAGCATATGGCTCCACCTCTTCTGGTGCGACTGTTGGCTCTGAAGCAGATCTTTCTTTAAATCCTGCATTTTTTATTCAAAAGTTAACTTTTATTTTTTTGCTTTTTATTTGACATATTAATCCAGGAAAAATAATATTCTCAAACAATGAATCCACAGTGTAAGCAATGCATAGTTTCTAATACTACATGCTTAAAAACTGAAGTAGGAAAATAATAGTTCACTCATTAATTTCACATGGGCCTTTAATATCTTTGTCTCAGTTAGCCTCTCACAAAAATCATTGTTTAAATGTTCACGAATCTCTAAAACAAAGGCATGTCTAAACTTACCAAAAGAACTACAATGAGTTCAAGCTCCTCTTATGTTCATAAGTTACTAATTAATTCCTAAGTCCTGAAGTTTGAATTCAGCAATGAGGCAATTAAGATGTACTTAAACTTTCTGCTATTCAGGTACATTCCAAATTTTGATTTATACATAATTATTTATTTTTCTTGAAAAACAAAAAATGGTCCAAAATAAGAAGAAATCATATATAACTCACTATTTACAATCTTCTAAAGGTAACACTAGTAATCATGTCATTTTATAACAGCAAAAGATATGAAAAAAAGTTCCTTTTTTTAATCCTAAGGAAAATAAGACATCAGGATAAATTAACATGAAAACTAAGTTTAAAGTCAAATACCAGGCCCAGCGCGGTGGCTCACGCCTATAAATCCTAGCTCTCTGGGAGGCCCAGGCAGGCGGATTGCTCAAGGTCAGGAGTTCAAAACCAGCCTGAGGATGAGCAAGACCCCATCTCTACTATAAATAGAAAGAAATTAATTGGCCAACTTATATAGGAAAAATTAGCCGGCCATGGTGGCACATGCCTGTAGTCCCAGCTACTCGGGAGGCTGAGGCAGTAGGATTGCTTGAGCCAGGAGTTTGAGGTTGCTGTGAGCTAGGCTGACGCCACGGCACTCAATCTAGCCTGGACAACAAAATGAGACTCTGTCTTAAAAAAAAAAAAAAGACGAAACAAGACCAGCCTAAACAACATAGTAAGATCCTGTCTCTACCAAAAAAAAATAAATAAATAAATAAATAAATAATAATAATAAATAAATAAATAAAGTCAAACACCAGTCTAAAATCCATTATGCTAAGTTAGTTCTTTGACACTTTATACATGAATCATTAAAAAATATCCTCAATTAAATACAACTATTTAGAAAACTAAGCTAGGTTCAAGAGTCTGAAGATTCCTTTTACTGAATCCTGGGCAAGATATCACGTCATTACGAATCTCATAGCAGGAGCTGTCACTAGAGGGAGCTGCTGTGCGTGCTGACAGCCTGCAGTGGAAGGGCAAGGCAGATTTGAGAGGCGGTTTTCTAATCTTAAGCACCTCTGCACAGCTCTTCACGTACTATTGTGGTCTGGAAAATTCTCATTTCAATGTCTTTCTTTTTTGCTTCTCTGTTTTTCCTTTTCATTCCCTTTTCTATCTCTCTTCATTTTTCTTTTAATGAAAAAAATACACTTCCACATTCTTCCCAAATCTTAAAAAGACAGAGACACACAGGATCCCTCTGTGTCACTTAATATATATCTCCTCTAGTTACTATTTCCAACGCTACTTCCACACAACACCTACCACTAGTAGCCCAACACGACACACACAGTTGTGTTTTACACCTTCGTGACCTCTAACTAACTGTAACACAGATTCCAAAGGGACCACACAAGATATCCACAGGTCCTCACAGTAGTTCAATTCAGGGGATGGGGGTTAGGGATGAAAGCCTAGTAAAAGACATCACATTTCAAATTCAAATTCAGGGCTGTCCTGTCTGTTGCCATTTAAAAAATCCACTCTTACATGCCTCAGTGGTTACAGGTATGGAACTGCTCATTGCCAAGTTCTGTGGAATAAGTGAATCTGTAGAATCAAGTAATTTACCTTTGCACTCTCAGTACCCCAGCTAACATCTGACACACACAGCGACTGCTCAATGCACCTGCTGGAGAGCTGAGCACCCCAGAGGCGTGACTGCTCTGCTAGGACGTGGGGGCAGAAGCTCCCTCAAGGGCCAGGGCTCTTAGGCTGCACTGGAGGAGCTTGTAGAATTAGGAAAGAGGCTCACATCAATTCTCTACTACCCTGTACCAAAGATCCATATCTCTGCTACGACGTCCACCATTTCAGTACCACGAGCCTTGTTTGCCTGGGACAGTCCCAATCATCCCAATGTCTGTTGTCCTGAAATAATTATTTCACTCTCAAAAGTACCTCAGTTTGAAGGAAAACTTATATACAGGATCATTCTTCATTAACCCTGTATGTGACAGGCTCTCAAACTATATACTCCATGGTAAAGTAAGCAATAGAATGCTTTCCTACCAAACAATAAAGATTTTAGATGCCTGAAAACCCCGTTCTTTTGGATTTTGAGAAAAGTTTCATGTGGAAAAAAAAATTAATGCCAAAGTATTTGAGAACTACGAGTACACCAATATTCAGAATGCAATGCCCCTGAAAGTCAGCTTTCTCGAAAGCAACTAGGAGTTAAGTCTCTAAAATTGAAATTGCAAAATGTAGGGAAAACATAAAAACAAAAGCATGTAACAGCAGAAAATATTGAGCAGCTATTTTTTTTCTGTCTGAAGTGGCAGATGAATTAATTATAAGCTTATTAATACTTGGTCACAGCTATTTCCAGAGGTGAAATCAGCACAAAAATAAACAGTACTGTAAGCCTCAAAGAAGGTGAGGATTACATTAATGCATCTCCTTCCCCAGACCCCTGTAAACTTTGGAAAAATTTGCCCTTAATATAAGCTTTTATTTTGGTGTTTACAAAAAACTTTCGCTACCCAAACTCATTTTGTTTCTAAGATTTAAGGCAAAAAATAAAAATTAAATGAGAAAAAGATACACATAAGGTCAATTCACAAAGGAATGTTTTTCAAACTGGATTTATTTGAAGTACAAATGGCAAGGAAGTAACAGAGAAATAAATGTTCAAACCTGTGTTACGAAATGAGATGTACCAGTTTTGATGTTCCTAGGGTTGCATTTAAAAATCCACCACCTTACAACAGCTTGAGCAAGAAGGAAATTTGTTCTCTAACTAAACAGGAAGCGAAGAGGTAGGCTGGCTGGCTCTTGGCCCAGCTCCATCCTCCAGCGGCCATCTGGACTCCCCTCACTGCAAGATTCTCTTTCAAACAAGATGATGTCCAGAAGCAAAAGGATCACCTTTTGCTCTGATTCTTTCTTAGGCTTGAAGAAATCTTCCTTAGAAGTTCCCAGTGGTCTTCCCTTTCAGTTTTAACAGTCAGAACTGGAACCCACTTCCATTTCTAGGCTGGCGAGCGGAACAGGATGACCACAGCTGCCTCACAGCCATCGTCTGGGGTTGCATGAATGCACGTTCACCACAATGGCCATGACGTAACTCAGAAAACAACTTTTAGTTCTTTAAATTTGGAAATTCAAAAACATTTGCATTTAATAACTATACAGTTGCTCCTCTAATTAAAAAAAGAAGCTATCAAGTGAATGAAATTAGTGCTTTAAATCAACCACTCATAGCAAATTTGATAACTGACACAGATATCTGAGCCCAGGACTAGCTTACTTTATTCACTGCTGCCCAACTACCCCCCACCATAATGGAAAAGAATCAATGTATTTCTTTAGATGAGTATGTCATAGTCGCATACTTGTGGAAATGCATGTTGCATTTATTCATTCAACAAATATTTAGCACCTATTCATGCAAAGCACTGTTCTACAATAAATGAACATACAAACAACCCTATCTTCTTCCTGGGAGAGACAGCAATTTAAAAAACAAGACACATGAGCTATTTAAAGCATATGGGATAGGGACAAATGGTATGAGGAAGACTTGGGACAGGGAGGATGTTAAGGAAAGGGAGGAGTTATTTGCAATAAATTGGGAAGGGAAGGACTCACTGATAACATTTGAACAGACTCCAGAAGGAACTCAGGGATGTGGCTGTGTAAGTCACACCAGGGAAGAGCACTCCAAGTAATGGGAACACCATGTACAGTCATGCATCACTTAACAACAGGGATACGTTCTGGAAAATGTGTCAAAAAGAAATGTGCTTTGAAATGCGTCACGGGGTAGTTCTGTCATTGTGTGAACATCAGAGTGTATCTACGCAAGCCTAGAGGGTATGGTCTATTACACGTCTAGGCTATACGGTAAAACCTATTGCTCCTGAGTTACACACCTGTACAGCATGTTCCTGTATTGAACACTGTAGGTGACTGTACAACATGGTGAGTATCTTTGTAACTGACTACATCCAAACATTAAAAAAGCGCAGTATAAAGATGGTATAATCTTATAGGACCACTATTGTATACACAGTCTGTCATTGACCAAAATGTCGTTATGTGGCACATGTCTATACAGAGTTCCTCAGCTGGACCAAGTCTGCTGCGGGGAGGTGCCAGGTGGCCAGTGCAGCAGGAGAGGAGTGAGCAGGGGTGTGAGCATCAAAAAGGCCTGGGACACCGTGTCACAGGGCTGGATTCTGAGTGTACATGAAGGACTGACTTTTCCTCAGAGTTATAAGAAAGCTGCTCCCTCAACAAAATCTGGAAGAGAATTATATATTTACTTTGGTTCATAGGATTTCATAAACCTAGCCCGTAAAAAGCTAGAAGTTTTTATAAATTAGGTTTTTATTCTTTGCTTTACTAATTCAATGGTATACAGGCTGAGGCCGGGTGAGGTAACTCACGCTTGTAATCCCAGCACTTTGGGAGCCCAAGGCCAGAGGATTGTTTGAGGACATTAGTTTGCAATCGATGGCATGCAGATTGATTAAATTTTGGTCTTACCGATCCAGGTTACTCCAGCTAGTTATTCACAAAGAGTAAGTGCTCAGGACGGCTACTGCTTCAATGGCAAGTAGTCTAGCAGTGTACACCAATATACCCCAAGAATAAGACTAACAGGTACATGAAACTTGAGAAATATTTGGGGAAATCAATACACCAGAAAGGCACACATATTAATTGACCATGCCAA